TAAAATTGCGATCATTATCCGAGATTTCTTGTTTTTTCCCTCAGTAGATTGAGGAATAATTTTATCAGCCCTATTAATTGCAAAATTAATTTTTGTACTAATCTTTTTACCCAAATTCTCATCAGAACCATCGAAATCCTGCAATAAATTTTCTAGCTCGGTTATTTTATCCGAAAGAGCTTTAAGATCGTCTTCGACAGAGAAAGGGTATTCGGGATAAGTGAAAGATTGACCCTCTTTCTCTAATTTAAGTAGCCTACGTAGTGACTTTCGCATTTCTTCTACCGTAGCTACTTCTGTTATACCCCTAACTGTTAGTTCGTATATCAATTCATCCGAAGAAAGGCGATTAATTTCGTATGGTGGAGCCATTGTAAATTTAAAAAAATTGAAAAAAAACTATTAGTGTAAAATCTAAACTTACTTAACTAACCTACCCAACCTAACCTAAAGAACTAAATTACCTAATCTATTTACCTACGCCTACCTATACCTACGAATTATCTATTATCTACCAAAAAAAAATAATAGAACTATAGCAAATTAGAACTATCATCCAACTCTAACCCAACCGGCAGTAGGAACCAACAGGCCGAATTCCATAGGAATTATAATACGCAAAAATTTGCGATAACAAAATTATATCAAATACACAACTAATATGGCAGAAAATTTACGTTGGGCGCCAAATTTATATGCAACTTACATTGCGCCTATCTAACTACCCTTAAACTATCCTAGATGCTATTTTCAATTGCTACAGGGCTGTTTATTATTAATTCCATGATTGCCATGGAAATGTGACTTTGGCTTGTAAAACTCACCGTTTTTGTAAATAAATTGATTTTGGTTGAAAACGATAATACACCGTCCATACAATGGCTTGTTGCAAAAGCAGAAGAAAAGTTGGTAGGTGCATAATCCAAATCCAGTAAAGTAAAAAATGTGAATAGATTATTTTTTGTGGCGGAAAAAGATTACTTACTTTTCATAGGGCGCCTGTGTTTAGCCGCCGAACGAAGTGACTTTTTGATGTTTGAGGAAAAAAGTTGTTTTCGTGGATGAATAGGAAGTATCTTACGAACAAAATTTAAATGAAACTAGATTCGCAAATGCATCGATAATGCCGGCATATAAAAGAAATGGCAAAGGTTCTTCTATCCTTTGGTTCATTCATTCAAAATTTGAAACAATGCTGCGATAAGAAATAAAACAGATTTGCCAGCATACCCTAAATTACGTGAGTTTGTGAAACTTCAAGGTACAAGCCACAGAAGTTTTTTGAGTGCTCAAAGCTGAGATTGTTTCTTATTTATTCTCTCGTCGCGCCTGATTACCCCCCCCCCCAACTTCGATCTTGATTCCGCGACCCCCACATGAGTCTCTAGCGGAAAACGAAGGTCAGGGTTGACGGAACCGAACGGTTGGAACGAGTAACATAAAAAGGTCATTGGTCCTCGTTAGCTGGAGAAACGGGAGGAGATATAGCGCGGACTAAGGAAGCTGATGGGGTATTGGGGGGTGTAGGAGAATCGGCATCGAGAAAGTAAGCACTCAATCGATGCTCACACGGATATCTTTGCTGTTGTAGGCGATGGTGGCAGTCTAGGCGTCTCTACGAATGACAATATGGACCGTTATAGGGTTTGCACAAGTCGTCTAACAGTGCCAGGTAAAAATTCGAGCAGTAGGTCTTGAAAGATGAAGGTTTTTTGTGATGGCAGGAATTGAACCGACGTATCTTGGGGCATTCTCTAGACGCTCAGGACCAGCGGGAAAATCTAGAAATACGCCAGTTAATCAAAGGGTCTGCCCGTAAACAAGATCGGCTGGAGAAGTACGGGGGTTTTACTAGAAAACTCTACAGTCTACGTATTTCAAGCGGAACGGCGGGAACCACCTCGAACCAGGAAGCGTCGGGATGGCGCCTGAGTGCTGCTTTGGGTTGGCGGTGTGGCCTCTGGGTGATATCTAAAGGTGTAGAATTGTTCCGTGCTGAAAACAATCTTGGGGACAAGAAAGAGGGACCATTCAGATTGTCCTGATCGGTGGTGATGTAAGGAGGGGGTGAAGCGAGATATCCAACAAAAGTTTCAAGGACTTCCTCAATGGTAATGGTATTGAGAGGGTAGGCCTTCGGGCTATCTAGTATACTTATCTACAACCGTCAGACAACAGAGATAGTGACCGACAGGTGGAGTGGAAGAGCACTCTATGATGTCACAGTAAAAATGAATATGGGAACCTGGCACGTTGTTCAGCTGGAGTCTGAAAGATGTGTTGCTGGCGAGAAGAATTGTCTTCCTCTTGATTACGAGTGAGTGTACGAAGATCAACTACTGGATCACGAACTCCAGATAAAGATTCGGAGAGACACAGTGCATCAGCAACAATGTTGGAAAACTCATCGACATTCAACTGTCCTATATCTATGGTAAATTGGAGGATTCTGTTGGACAGGAGGTAGCTTATCCCTACGTTGAGGTTAGTGGTTCATTGATCGGTGAAAATGGGGCTTCCAAAATGTGACGAAAGTGTCGTACAGCGGCCTAGACAGTGAGAGTTCCCAATAGTAAGCTGGGCACTCACCTTGACGCGGTGTAAACTTCCGGAAAAAAAGGTTAGCGGTTGCTACGAATAGTCGACACGATACTGAAGAGCAGCTCCGGTTGACATGATGGAAGCGTCACAGAAGAGGACGAGTTGAGCATCGTGATTGGGATGCAAGAAGTATAGCATTTTGCGCGAGGTTTTCCTTGCAGACGTTGGTGCTTGACCGCAGAACGAAGGAATCGGTGGTCAAAATTAACTAACTAGAGTCGCCACTCCTGGGAGAGTTTCAGTGGCTCGGCGAGTCGAAAATCATTGCCATGATACCAAGTTGGGGAATACAAGGAACGGAGAGGAGGCCAATGATGCCTTTGATAAGATGGCGACGGCGACAATATAGTAGGAGTTCGAAGTGTTCCAAGAAATCCGAAATGAATGCTGACGTCGGCGACGACGAAATTCCAAATAAAATCACGTTGAAATCCGAGGAGACAGAGGTTAAGAGAAATCATGTGTAGAGTTGTCGGTACCACGTAGTTCGTAGTTAACTCGGAAATGATGGTCCAGTAGTAACGCCCGAGAAAAACAACCAATGTCTGAACCAGCGTCCATTAAAAATTTCTTCTTGACTTACGATCGACAACAAGGAGGCGCCTTCCTCCAGGTGGGCAGCCGGCTGGGAAAATACATCTGTACCACATGTAATAGGTGATCGAAGAAGTAGCGTACACTGCTTGGGAATTGAAAGCAGTGAGAAACTCTGAACCAGGTTGAACTTTTATGATCCTGTCCACGGTAACAGCGAGCATGTCGGTGGTAAGGCCGGTTTGACCAATTTAAGATTCCAGTATGGCTTGAACATGGGTAGAAAGTTGATGCATGCAAATTGTGCGGAGAGGACCGCCTTGAATGGTGACGCTGCTGACCAGAGAGCGCAGATGACGGATAACCTGAGAAGGGGTAGTGCTAACAGGAAGATCGGTAATCAAATTCTCGACCTCATTTGCATATTGCTCGTCTTTGAGCACATGCTGTAGCCGCTGCTGGTGCTGTTGTTGCATTTGGTAAATTTGTTGCTACAGCCTTCGATTTGTTGCTGGAGTTGTTCCAACTGTGTTTGTAGAAACATCATGGCTTGCGAAGGATACGCGTTAAGTTTTACAAATTAAGACAGGTAAAAGTTACCGTGACATGCACAAATAGTAAATAATAACAGTTCGAACGCGGAACTGCACAAATAATGTCAATCACTGTGGGTCTGCGTAGGTACAAACTAAATATTTCTCGATCACTGAATGTAAACAAGATTTTTAGTGTTGAAAACAGTTATAGGATGCTAGTTTCGAAGTTTATAATATGTAACGTTTATATGAAACGCCCGAGTTTAAGATCGCCATTTCACGGTTTACTAAAGCAGTAGAGCAGGCTTTTCATGAGTCAGTTAAAAACAGTAGATAATCACTTATGCGAATACATTATATTGTTTTCATGGAAACTGAGAGATAGAGTTTACGGTAGCATGAAAAAACGGCCTTAGGTAATTCATTCTTACATTGACTTACAATACCTCCGAGAAGTGACACTAGTCGCTCATATATAGAAGAGTAAACACGTTGATTCGATTAGAGCACGAAAATCACAAATAAACCCTACAGAAGTGCAAGAGACACGCTACAGATGTTCATTTTCATTAGCGCCAGAACCAGTTATAAGTACTTTCCTAATTCCTCGATTTTACGTAATAAACTTTATAAACTCCCATTCATTCGTGTGAAAATGAATTAGGTATTAATGAATTGCTTATTTACTACAATAACCCTAACGATGTCTTCTAAAATATTAATTATGATATAGACTGATATTTATAAATCATTTTCGACTATGAACGTACTAGACGCAAGTTTACTAGTTAATTTGTAACGTACTCCAAGATTCAAATTTGCGTTGCTTACTAACGTTATTGGTATCAAGTATCTAAAGAATGTAAGATTAAGCTCTAAAGCTTTAGAAGTAGGGTATACTGAATTGTTATAAAGGAAGTTCCATTTACAGTCTTTAGTCCCTTACTAATAGTTTGTCATTAGCTGATTAGAGAGCGTGGTTCTATAGTACCTTCCTATAGCTTACTTCTAAAAGAGAGCAAATTAAATGAGGTGAAATGCGTACATTACCGGCAGAGCATTATTTATGGTTTCCGGGAAATGCGAACGCATTTTAGTAATTTAAGGTGACATCTTTTAAAACATAGGCCAACCCAAAGAACGATAGCGAAATTGACCAAAAAATGTTACGACATTTTGGGGCAATTTTAATGCGCCGTGCACGCAGCTCATTTTTAGTTATTTTTCGAGTGCCTTTAATTCTGCCGTTAAAAATCACATTTTATGGCGAATTTCCCAAGAGAAAGCTTCTAAATATTACTGACAAGTAGCACATATAGGGATACTTACCACAAGCGCGTTTCCTAAAGCTCCGACAGATATTAGGATGCTGTACATGATAATTAAAATGGTATATGCCGGTTCGTCCACTGCTCTATTATAAATGTATCTGTCAACGAGTTCAGGATCGACCTCCTTGCTCTTTCTAACAATTTCGCTTTCGCTCGAGTTTAAATTAATGTTCAAGTACGGATCCATTTTAATTAACTGCTTTCTGTCCCAATTAATTACTTAATGAAATTTCCGATAGAATGATTGCATTGGGAATGTTACTAAGAAAATTCCATATCGCTTAGAAGGTAGGCTACACGGGTGGTTTTCCATATGGATCCCCTTGTGGAAGTGGTCGTCTTGATGTGGTTACTCTGAAAATAATGAATTTCATTTAAATTATGTTTCAATGAGCAAACATGATATATGACTTTAATTACCAAGAGTTATACAATTTTTGATGTTCATTTTATATACGTTGTGAAATGTTGACTTCAACAATGAAAGTATTGTGAATTTTGTTTCAGTTTTCAATTAATTAAACGTGCACTACACGTAGCGTTCCTTTGAAATTTAGGCCTGCGTCATGTTTCGTGTTTATTTCGTGCTTGAAATAAAATTACTTTAAAATCTACTCCATTAAATATCACGATATTTTTTAATATCTTAAAAGGTATAAAAATAAGAGTTTCAAAATACAATTTTTATTTCGGGTGAATTTAATCTATTGTATTCCTATTAATTTAATTATAATTTTAGTCTGAAGACACCGACGCCCTTGCAGTCGTTGAACTGATAAGCAATTTCGAAAATGGCAGAATCATTAACGAACCACTTTTGTGCTGACCGTGTGCGATGTAGGTATTAGCCCCGGAAAACTTGCAACTACTCAATACTCGTTTCCAAAAAAACTCGCTACACTGGAAAATTCGCACCCTAAAGACTCCGCCCCGCAGCGAATAATTCGTTTCTAGAGTACTCAACCACATATAAGGTTCTTTCTCAGAAGATTTATACCGGAATATTCTCCTGTAGTGTATAATTATAGTCGCTGTAAAAGGCTAAATTCATCTACGAAAATTCGCTTCGCCCGTAGAATCTTTACGTCTAAACAAAATCCCTCCAGAAAAAAATCTGGCTTTCCGACCTAGATGGCAGATTTGCACTCGGAACATTCACTAAGTATTGGAAAATTTACGTCTACCAGAATTCAACGTCTGTTAATTGGCCCTGGTAAATTCACTTGTAAGAACACTCTCCGGTCTCCATATTACTCTCCATATTACTTAAGGAGAATAGCCAAAAGACTGCTGATTCTTAGTGTGTGTTTTTTGTGTATTTTTGGATTAAAATCATGAATTAGAGGTATCGCGTAGTATGAATGACGGTAGAACAGTTTCTCTCAAGAACTTGTTCAGTAGTACTCACAACATAACGTGTTCAAGAAAGTGACTGCCTACGCATTCAAACGTATTTCTATGGAAAACCTAATTAATCTTGCCTTAGGCAAAAGAACTAGTAACCCACACCCGAATGAATGCAAAATGGTATTATGGACGACGCACTAGTCGCATCGGTGACTCAAACGCGAATGAACTCAAAATCTCCCGGAATAATCCCTACCTAATTAATTAATTAACTCCTTTTTCAAAATGGCTTCTAGTAATTAAGGAAACCATCTTTTGTTATAAGCCAATCCGAGTTGCGATACCCCCCTGGAATATATACCACCATTTGCTGAATTTTCTACAAATTTTATAAATCTCGAGATAGGAGGAACTAATTATGGAGTCACTACGTGTATACAGTTCACCCACGTATCACAAAGCGACCGCTATTTCCACCAACTACTTACGGATTTTTACAATTCCACCAGTCATACAATTCAGTGGAAAATTCGAACGTCTAATTTACTTGCCTAAACTGTTCGAAATTCTAAAAAAATCCCAAAAATCCCAAAATTTTCTACAAAATTAAAAAAATAAATTCAAATTTAGAGCTCCCGTTACAAGTAGGTGCAAAGGATTGTAACAGAAACTTCCAATCGGTGTTAAATTGGTTTCGATTAGGCAACATTTCCAGCAAGGGCCTTTTCTAAATTCAGTTTTTAGTTCCATTTTAATGGTTGGATATTGCGAATTGTTAAATTTGGCTTATTCTTAATAAGTAAAATTCTATGCGATGTTTTTACTGTGTGAACTTATGAGCAATCAATACATTTGCGGAATTAACGTCCGTAATGTGTATTTGTCTAGATTTGAGCGAGCAGGGATCCTAGATAATCCGGTTACTAGGGTATATCCCATTTTGCGTTACCCTCTCGTGGGATTTATGCAGCAAAGTAAAGATTCAGTCGTCGTTTTGTTGCATTTTGATCTCTTTAAAGAAAAACTTTTCCATGAAAATTATACTTTTCTTCAGAAATGAGTTGGAGGTTGACTTTTATATGAATGTAAGGTACAAAAGAGATATAAACACAGACAGATTTTGCAGATGAGTTACTGACAAAATATTTGAAACCGTATTGAGTGAGCTAAACGTGTATCTTTTAAAAAAGCTCGTTTCGAGAGGTAGCTCTTTTGTTCACAAAGGTGAAAGTTACTCGCATAAAGCACCCCAATAAAAGCAAAATTTTAAAATGTTCGTAACCCTTTGGTATTTTACTATGGTCGTTACTTTTGTTAATGTGATGCCTAAGCCACCACTATATGTGTTTCAGAAGTTTTATGCCGCCTTTTCGACTTTATGGTCATCTTATTACCCATACGCAACATAACATGAGTGAAATGACTAATATAAAGGCGGGCTGATGATGAAGTACGTAATTTGGAGAAAAAGAATATTCTGTCATAGTTACAACGTCGGTCGACTGCCCATGAAAAGCACTTAAACGAAGAGAACGTCTTATAGCCTATTATTTTTTTGAAAGTTATAATAAGTTTGAATAAAGAAATGTAGGGAAAAATAATCTTTTTTAATAGCGCCTTCAAAGGCGCGCTTGTAAGAAGAACACGGAAATATCATAAAAACGAATTTAAATTGTTTGACTATACATTTCCCTTACAAGTTGAAACATCAATTTATAAATTGTAAATTTAAAGCTGCCTTTGAAGTTTTTTACACGATCAACATTCATTTTCATCGTAAAAAGCATATTACTCTAAAACCTTATTATTTACATACGTTTGTTTTGTATGAGAGGTGTTGAGTGTTTAGTTTATACCTTTCCAACATCAACTCGTACAATAAGTCGAAATAAATTACGTTCCGTAATTTTAAATTACTTCTGTATGTTTTAATCTGGATCAGTTGAGCTAATATGAAAAATATAAAAGCTTAGTAAATATTTGGTCATTTTCGTGATTTTCTGTTGCAAATCGTAATTGTTACGCAACTATTTCTAACAAAAATCTTTTGCCTTGAATCAATAGGAAAACTACTTCCCATGCCAGTCGAATATTAAACAAACTTGAATTCACATTTGAATAGGAATATACAAATAAATTTTTATATAGTATCATAAACAGAAAACTGATCTAAAAGGGATGGAATGGACATATAAACTATAGAATTTAAGACATAAGCTGAAGCAAGCTGAAACTAATTAATAATGAAAAAATCTTGAATTTCCTACAGTATTTTTTTTCTCTAGTAATCCAAGTAATCTGGCCGTAAAAGGTTAGCGATATTCTGGCGCACTTATCAAAGGCACAAAAACATTCGCTGACAGCTTCAGGAATCTTCACTTTTATTATTAAATTGAACTATGGGCTGCTACGATAGTAGAAACCTTTAACTTTTAATGAAAGACAAACCTTTTACTAAGCTTTGTACTAAGCTGACAACTGCTTTGTTTACACACACTTTTTTAAATTAACATTAGTTAGCTTTATGTGCACACTACGCCTTCAACAAAACAACTAGGGCGGGTTGCTGAGATTTCGCGTAAAGAAATTTCACGCTTTTTTACCGTCGCTGAACTGGCAGCAGCAGCATCGTTTTTTTACGTTGATTCCAGTGTTTGAGGGAACACCACTTCCATTATAAAGCTCCTTTTTCAGAATTTTCAAGAACACAACCAGATTAGATAATCACAGCTCCCTACTTACGCCAAAATAATTAGCACAACGCCATAAGAACGCGTGCGTTAATTAAATTTCGTCCGATCAAAACCCCTTATCGTAAAAGACCAGATGTCCCTACATTTTAAAAACGCAATTTCTCGCTTTACGTAAAAACGATAAAATTTACGCAGAATTACGCAATTACAAATCTAGGGTCTTCGTCTTTTCTCGCAAGCGACACGCTGTTTTACATGTCTCTTTAGGTCCCAAGTCATTTGATGCCATACACACTCCGTTCTCACCCTTTTTAGCGTTCTCTCTTTCCCTTGGTAGCCTGCGAGTGATCCATAATGCAAGCTATGTGTACTCTTTTTCTTAGCCTACGTAAAATGGCGGAATTATTAGTATAGTGATCATTTAAATTTAGTCCGCTACCAATTCAATTCAGTGGCAAATTAGTTGTTAGATATTGACGTTTTTCAACTAAGCTTTTTCTTGAATTTTTCTTTAGTTGTTAGTTTTAATGGTTTTAAAACCACGACAGTAAAGGGGTTGTGTACACCCGAACTCCAATAAAATGAGGATTAAGATCCAAATTTAACTGCATATACTTCTGTATAATAGATATGGTAGAATGAATTCAATCAACATTCATAGCTTTACTCTGAGGCTGTGAAATTGATCGAGAAAACTGCGAATGGTTTATTTTCGTGGGTACATCATTCTGGTCTGAATTGTTTACGATCAGTTTAAAACAAAATTGAGTAGAAGCTGTGGGTTCCATAAAATATGTAAGATGAAAAGTGTAGCTTGAAATTACTTCGACAGATATGAATGCGCCAAAGTGCTCATTTTTTCCGCGTACCTTTCCATGCGTATAGAAAAGCGACAAGTTTGACTGTTGGACCGTCACTTTAAATCAGGCTGAAACGTTTTAAAAGCGCTTTCAGAGACTAAGTAAGACAAATTTCCAACCAAATAGGATTCTAAAACTAATTGCAATTGGTGGAGTAATTCAAATATACTTGATGCTGTCAGCTTTGAGGGCATTTCTCTTTTCAATTTCCCGCAAATGGAAACTGCCCCTGTAAAACCTTTATTCATGTGCAGGGGACCCATGCTATTTGTAGTTTATTAATCATTGTGCACTTAGCAACAATGTTAATCGGAACTGTCAGATTATGGTCAATTTAAACCCATGGCAACGTTAAGGATTGCTTAATTTTTACAACGCACATGGCCACAAGAGACGGATTAAAATTAAATAGTTTCGTAAAAGTTGGCCTTCCATAGGTATACGTATAA